TTCTCCTCCAAAAGCAGCCTCAACGGTTTCACCCTGCGCCAAGTGTGCTCCTGTCTTACCTGTAGTGGAGTTGGGCAGCCTCTTCTTTGTGCTCCCGCTGGAGATCCTCTGCTGCAGCGCGTCGAAGAAAGCCTGGGGGATGTGGAACACCAGCGGCTCGGGCTTGCCTGTGCAGGCAGGAAGAAGACATGGGGTGGGGGCAGAGGAGAGGCGGCACTGGGCGGGAAGGGGGTGCCAGGTGCTGTGTTGTTCAAGGACACCCCCATCCTGCTCAAGTTTTGAGTTATCTCTGCAAGCGGGGCCTCCAGCAGCCGGCTGGAAGAGCACTGCCAGCATCAGGCTGACATATTTTCTTGAATTCTGGCGCTTCGTTTTGTGTCCTTTGCCTCTCGGCCTGCCTGAGGGCGCTGCTGACAGAGCCTGGCTCTGGGGGCTTCACGCCCTCCCACCAGATCACGGCCAGTCTGGTGAGGAGTGGGGAGATGGACCTGACGATCCTTCCAACTTGGGACTTTCTCTTTGTCCTTCTGGGCAGTGACTCCCCGCAGGCTCTGGGTGTGCCCCAGTCCCTCACGGCCTCTGCGGCCCCCCGTGCTGGACCCCTTCCCGTGCTTGTCCTGGGGAGTGCAGAAACGGGGCTCAGCCCCTCAGGGCTTTCAGTCCCTGTTTGCTAAAGTGGGTGATGCTGCTGAAGGGGGGCTGGGGGGTGACAACGTAACTTTTTTAAGAACCACAGAACCATTTAGGTTGGAAAAGAGCCTTAAGATCCTGGAGTCCAACCACAAACTGAGCATCATGGACTGTCACTGGCACGGCCCCTGCCTGTAATGACACCTCAGGGCCTGCTGCTGGACACCAGGACACGTGTTTGTCTCATGTGACAAACACACAGTGCTCTTACATTGCTTGGAAGGAGCTGCTCCCCTTCAGGCATTTTTTTTTTTGGGTCCCTCTGCAGCACCTGCCAGGCAGGAACAGCTCTCCCAGCAGCCAGACTTCTGAAGTACCTCCCCAATAAGGATTTTTACAGACCTGGTGGATGGGCCAGAGACGTGCCCCGCTGCCCCCACAATCCCCACGCAGCTCACTGAGGACAGTAGCCCCCTGCCCACGTATTACAGCCACAAGCCACTGCCAGTAGCCACGCGCACGGCTGAGCCCTGCCTTCAGGGCACGTGGCGGGGACAAGGACAGCCAAGTCATGTGAGGAAAAGTGGATTATAATTTCCAAGACCTCACGCCGCTAAGTGTCACCTTATTTAACCTCACCTCCTCCACACAGCCTCAGGCAGTTTAAATTTGAGCATCAACAACCTCTGAGGGAATTTCTCCCTTCCCCAGGATAAACACCAGCACCAGGCTGCTGATAACCATTAAGTCCATGTTCAGGAAACAAATCAAAAGCTGATAGAAACCTCCCAGGGCAAAATAACATTTGCTCCAAGTGAAGCGCTCGCCTCCCTTTGAGCTGACAGTTATTTAATGCTGCCAGGAGCTTAACGACAGAGAAAGGGCAGCGAGTGGAGCAGCGTGGCGTGGAGCTGTGCCCAGCGGCATCCCCGAGGTGGCCCCCAAGGCCTTACCCTCAAACTGGTAATGCATGGTTTGATGGATGCGTTCGGTGACACTGGCCAGCCAGTCCTGGAAGGAGAGGGTCACCTGCGACTCGTCCAGCAGCTGGGTGCAGCCTGCAGGAGAAAGGGAAGGGAAATCAGAACCTGCAGGGGCACACAAGTGAAGTGCCAAGCCTGAGGGGTAGGAGAAATAACTAAGACCGAGGCACACCAGCTGCCCCACAGGCACAGCTCCTCTGCAGCCAGCTCCAGCCCAGTATTCCCCATTTCACCTGCACAGGTTTCCCCAGCAGCACAGACACAACTCCCCGTGTTAAGCAGTGATCAGGAAGGCAGCAGGACAGCAAACCTACCTGTTTTTCCATCAGCTTGACATGAACAGAATCCCAGAATCCTCTGGGCTGGAAAAGCCCCTGCAGCTCCTCCAGCCCAACCATGACCCTCCCCCTGACCGTTCCCAACTCCCCCAGACCCCTCAGCGCTGGCTCAGCCCGACTCTTCAACCCCCCCAGGGATCCCGGGGACTCCCCCCTGCCCTGGGCAGCCCATTCCAACGCCCAACAGCCCCTTCTGCACAGAAATCCTTCCTCAGAGCCAGCCTGACCCTGCCCTGGGCAGCTTGAGGCCATTCCCTCGGGGCCTGGCGCTGGGGCCTTGGCTCCAGAGACTCATCCCCCCTCTCTGCCCCCTCCTGGCAGGGAGTTGCCGAGGGCCAGGAGGTCTCCCCTCAGCCTCCTCTTCTCCAGACTGAACCCCCCCAGTTCCCCCAGCCGCTCCCCAGCAGACCTGTGCTCCAGACCCTGCCCCAGCTCCGTTGCCCTTCTCTGGCCACGCTCGAGTCACTCAATGGCCTTTTTGGGGTGAGGGGCCCAAAACTGAACCCACTCAGCGAGGGGCGGCCTCCCCAGTGCCGAGCCCAGGGCTCAGATCCCTTCCCTGTCCCTGCTGGCCACCCCAGTGCTGACACAAGCCAGGATGCCATTGGCCTTCTTGGCCCCCTGGGCACACTGCTGGCTCCTGTTCAGCCGGCTGTCCCTCTCTGGCTGGCAGCTCTCCAGCCACTCCTCTCCAAAAGACACTGGAAACGCTAGCAGTGGCAAAAAAGCGCAACAGAAACTGTCGCAGCTTTGCCTGAACCGCTTCGCCTACCCATTTTCTCCAGGAGAGCACTTAGTTGTGTCAGGAGACATTAATATAAGGTCTGCTCACTCACATAAGCGTTGGCACCGCCACAAGCCAACTTCTGTAACCTTTCTGCACCCAGAAACCCACCAAAGAGCCACCTCGAGAGGACACCAGCATCGTCCTTCTCTAACAAACCACGTTTACGGTGAGCCAAAGCTACACCAGCATCCCGACCTCCGCGAGACACACACAGCTACCAGCAACACCAAGGTGCCTGAGAACAATTTTGGCCTCCTAGAACAAGTGATGGACAGAGAGGGCTCTGCTGACCCCTCTGCAGGGATGTGGTGGCACGAATCGAAGGGCTGTGGGCGTCCGCCCGGTCCCCGAGCGCTCTCAGTGAGCCGTGTGACCGAGGCTTACCTTGTCTTTTCAGCGAGGAAGCGACGGCCGGCTTCTTCAGGCTGCTTCTCCTGGGGTTGCTGTGAGCTGGGTCCTGAGCCAGGAGAGGGCTGGTGGCCTGTGTCCCTGAGGGATTGTTTAAGAGAGAGTCAGTGCACAAGCCCCGGGGGTCCACAGGCACCCCTTGAGGGCATCCCTGCTGTGGGCAGGGTGGGTGGGCTGGAGAAGTCACCTCTCTCCTTAGGGTGCGCTGTCACCACAGCTCTTGCCACCTTTATACCACTAACAATCACTTAAAGACTCCCTCGGACTCGGGGCAGGCGTGGGCTCAACACCCAGAGCTGCTCCCAAAGCTCCCACCGGCACTGGACACAGCCCACAGTCGGCTGTGAGTCCAGCAGGTCACGGCGGGGCTGCCCCCTCCTGCGGCCGTGCCACGGCGTTCGGCTTCAGCCCACGTCCCCCCCATCCCGCAGAGCCTCCAGCAGACGCTCACCGGGCGTCACGTCCTTTTTCCTCTTCTTGGGCTTGGCAGCAGGCGTCTCCCCAGCCTGCACCGTGGTTTCGGGGCTGCCAACCAACTGCGGGACCACGATCCCTTTCAGACCTAAGAAAAACGAGACTCTGTCCTTAAAAGCATCTCAGCCACAGGCGGCAGTGCTGTGGGGACATAAAGGTCCTGTGTCCCCCTCCCCACGCCAGCACTTGCATCCCCAAGACCTCCCAGCACGCCCCAAACATCCTCAGAGAAACCCCAAAGCCCCCCCGGCCCTGCAGACACGCTTCTTTGAAGCAAGTGGTGATTTTATTTCACTCACATCACCCAGGTCGCTCTCCTCGGGGTGGATTTTCACCTTAGGGTGCCTAAAGACAGAGTGGGATTATCTGGGTGCACCTATCGGGGTGCACAACCCCCTCCCAGGGGACTGAACCCGCAGCTGCTGCTGCAGGAGGGGGGTTCAGAGAGATCTGGGCGTCCCCCAGCGCTGCTCCAGCCCCAAGGGAAGAGGAAACCGGGTCGCCTGAGCACCCATCGCAGCAAAGCCCCTCCACCAGCTCCCGGGGGAGCACAGGGTGCCCCCCAGCTCTGCTCCCACATGCTGGGAGCCAGGAGGAATCACCCCCCACAAAGCCTCTCTGCTTGCAGGGAGGCGAGGGCAGGAAATAAACCCTCAGCTAACGAAGCACCCATGGGGAGCAGGTCTAAGGGCAGCCCAGGCAAAGGCAGGCAGCTGCCAAGGCACGAGCGGGAGGAAGGAAGCGGGAGGCATCAGCCCGACACGGCCCCTTAAAACCCCCCAAAATCCTCTGTGCTTTGCTCCCCCCTCCACCTACCGCCGGAGTCGTAGGTGAGGAAGTCAGCGAACTCCTGCGCCAGGCTCTCGTCGCTGGCGAAGGCGCAGATGCAGGCAAAGAAATGAATGCAGCGCGGCGGCATCGCCTCCTCCTCGGCCGGGCCACCCTTGCCAGGCTTCAGAGCCTGGCAGGAGCAGGAGAACCTGTGGTCCGCCAGCGTCTTGGCGCTCATTTTCTGGGCGAAGGAGGCGTGCAGGTAGCGAGGCTGTGCTTCTGGCTGGCCTTGCACTTCACCACCAAGATGTTCTTGGTGATCCGCTGCACCAGCGGCCCCGTGGGCTCAGTCGCCAGCTGCCATATGGTTTGTTTGGTTTCGGGTGAAGCCTGCATGGAGTTGAGCACCGAGCTTTTCAGGGTGAGCGGGGTGGCCTCGGTTTGGCAGTTCAGGGCCAGTTTGACGTGCTGGCACTGGTTCTCCACCACGCCTTGCGTGGCTGCTTTCAGACACGACGGCACGTAGCAGCGGCCGGAGCTGAGCTGCGTGATGATGGTCCCGTCCACCGTCTGGATGGCTGTCTCCGAGACCCCCAGCTCCACAAAACACCGGTAATCCGGTCCCCGGTCCCTCTGCCGCACCGAATAAACCTGTAAATCGGAGCCAGTGATGAGCTTGACGGCGTCGACGCTGGGCTGCTTGCGTGTGCCGTAACGGAAAACGGTCCCGCAGTTCTTGTTCTTGCAGCTCAGGCCACGGGTGCCGTTGTAAGTGCCGCAACGGGGACATTTCCGGATGCCCCGGAGCGTGGCCTTCCCCAGGTCAGACAGGAAGGAGGGGACTTTGGTCCTCACCGATGCCGGCTCCATACTCTGGTGAACCTGGAAGGGCAGAGATCAGGGCAGGGGGGTGAATTAACAGCCTGCACAGAGGCGGACAGGATGGGAAGGACAGAGGAAAAAATAAAGGGAAGAAAATGGAGGGGAAAAAAAAGAGAGGGGGGAAGCGACTGGCTGCCTGGTTCTGGAAGGATGGGCAGGGGTCCCTGCCGGTCACCGTGCCACCCTGCTGCAGTCCCACCGCTGGAACCGAGGTCTGAAGTGACACCCCGGTGTGACACGACATCCCACGGAGGGGTGTCTCTCCTCATGGAGCGATAAAGTTCCACCCCTGGAAGCACCGGACCCTGTCGCCTCCACCCTGGCGCTCACCCCCTGCTATTCCCCAGTCTTGGCCATGCAAGAGAAAAAACAAGGCAAAAAAGAGAGCTTTTGGTGTGGCCAAAGCCACAAGTTCAGCTTGTGGGGGTAAATAAAATTAAATAAAGGATGTGGGGTGTAAATAAAGCTGGGTGGCCAGCCCACCACTGCAGGGGGACTCCCAGAGCCCCTGGGCACTTGCTGAGCACGCCAGAGCTGCTCTGAGCGACACCAGAGTACAAACCACTGTCCAAGGCAGCGATGATGGGGAGAAAACCCGGCGTGAACAGGACGGAACCATGGCGATTCCCTCCTGATTGACCCACATCAGGTTTTTTTGCACCAGGTTGGCAGCCGAGGAGCAAGACAGTGACTCTCTCAGCACCTGGAGGAGCTGCCAGCAATGGAACTTCAACCATTTCTCCCCCTGCCCAACACCTTTTCCCCTGCCCAGGCTCGCACAGCTCCTTGTCCCCATCACATCAGGACGTGCGATGGGCCGGGAAGGCTGCCCAGATCCCCTTGGCCCTATGACAGAGCCCTCCACTCACCCCTGCCTTCCTCGTGCTCCCCTCCATGGCCAAAACCCTCTTTTTGGGGGAAAACCAAGCACGGTGTGAAGAGCCACACGCAGCCAAGGCCTCAAGCCGGTCTTTGCGCCCAGCGAGGGCAAGAGACGGAGACAGAGGGCAGAGGCAAAATGGATGTTTATTGTCACTGCTGGAGCCGCAACATCTCTGGGAGACATCGTCACCTTAAAGTGGATGTGACAGGACGCGTGGGATGACGAAAAGCAGCTCCCGGTGCTCCTGTGGTGACTGACGCCAGCCCCACTGACACGAGATAAAAGCCGCTGGCACCGGGAGGCGCGAGCTCCCGGCCAGCTGCAAAGCACCGGGCCCAGCTCAGGGAACTGGGGCTCGGCGCCAGAACTCACTGGGGGCTCCCGTGTCAGTCCCCCGGCTTCAAGGAAGGGCCGGAGAAGCCACGGAGCACAAAGACCAACACCCAGCGGACCAGCACAGCCACCGCGAAGAGCCCGGTGAGACCGGTCAACCGGAACGGGACGGATCCCACAACCCCGGTCACCTCAGGACCAGGCCCCGGTTTGCCTGAGGGAACAGGCCCGGGGCCTCCTCCTGAAGCCTCAACCACAGCGCCTCGCCAGAGCGCGGCGCTGACGTCGATGACGTCACTGACGTAACGTCGCCGTGACGTCGCACCTCGACGACGCAAAGGAAGGGGCGGGGGTCTCCGCCGTAGC